AATTAAAGGCCAGCCTGGCCTACATGACACCCTGTTTTGAAAATAAATGCGTAAGTAAGCATCCTCTCCCTGTTCCATCTTCCTCTGTCACTCACCTCTATTAGACTGTGAAGCCCCAGGAACACTGTGCTTTGAATCCCTATTGCTTGCAACTTTGCCTAGCAGCCGGGTGTGGTGGCACACACCCTTAACCCCAGCACTCAGGAAGGCAGAGGCAGGCGGATCTCCATGAGGCCAATCTGTTCTACAAAGCAAGTCTTGGACAGGCAAGGCTACATTTAGAAACCCTGCCTCACTCTGCCTTACTTGTGGTGGCTGCATGGGGCTTATTTATTGAGGAAATTAGGTCAAATCTCAGCTGTTTCCCAAGGATAGCCTTAGGCATCCGGAGATAGTCTTAGCATTCCGGAGCCTCAGTTTTCTGGTCTGTACAAAGGAGAAGATGATTCTGACACTGGCGTTGCTGTAAGCCAAGGAAGATGCACAGACAGTTGGAGGACCGGTCATAATTCACATCAGCAGAAAAGAATCCTACCTCTGTCATTTCCTGGCTGTGTGGCCTTTGGGTGGTTGATTCATGTCTCTGTGTCTGTTCACCTGTGGAGTAAGTGGAGAGACTAAACTTCTCCTTGCCTATATGGTTTGGGGCCTCTCAGGGGGTGGTGGTAGATGTGGAAGTTCATTAAAAAACCAGGAAGCTAGTCTGAGACCCAGGCCGGAGGCTGTGAGTGTTGCCAGGGTCTCTGAGGCTGGGAAAGGCAGCCTTGTGAACTCACACTCTTTGGTGTTGGAGGGAAAGCTTACTGTAGGATCCCAGGCATTTCTGAGCTGTGGCTACCTTCTCTATGACTGAAAGAATGAAGGGGCACCGGGTCAGCGTGGTGGGAAATCACATTGACTTGGCAGCAGTTTTTCCCAGTTCTTGGAGATGTCTGAGTGGTGGGGAGCAATTTGCCTCGTGAATTCTGACGAAGGCTGATAGAGAATACCTGACTTCATTCAACATACCCACAAGTGTACCTCAGCACCCAGACTCCTAGCGGAGTCACTGTCCAGAGCTCAGAAAGCACACAGATGAGCGTGTTTCAGAACCTTTGCTAACCTGAATCCCCAAATCAACTTTTGCCATCCCAACTCAAGGATAAAGTAGGGTTCAGGGTAGCAGCCCCATGTGGCTGGCTCAGGGGAATTTGGCACCAGAAGCCCTTCTTATAAAACCAGGAGTCAGATGAGGATATTCCAAGACAATCCTGAATTAAACAAACAACAAGCAAACAAAAAATAGAAGAGACGAGCCTAATCTAGGGCATCCTGCATGTCAGGCAAGTGGTCTACCATGGAGCAATATCCCAGCTCTGGTCCCTCTTGTCATTTGGCAAACTTGGCTCCTCCTTTTCCTCTTCTTCTTCCTCCCATCCTCTTCTTCTTAGAAATCTATTTATTTTAGGTGTGTGAGTATTTTGCTTGCATGTATCCGTGTGTACCACACCTGCCAGGAGAAGGTGTTAGATTCCCTGGGACTGGAGTTACAGATGGTTGTGAGCTACCATGGGGGGTAGCTACCATGGGGGGGGGGGCTGGAAACTGAACTGGCTTCTATCGGTGTTAGTGCGCTTCAAGGGATTGCATCAACAACGAGGAAGCATTTGCCCCTTGGCAGGAAGACCTACCCTCTGTCCCCGAGTCCTGGAAGAATTTTTGTGAGTATTTTTTGTTTTGCTTATCTAACCTTTTGACATTGAGGTATGATATGGTCACCTACAGAGTTCATGCTTGAGAACCATGCAATAAAAATAAATAAATAAATGAATGAATGAATAAATAAATAAATAAATAAATAAATAAATAAATAAATAAATGAAATAAAGGTCACAGGACTGGAGAGACAGCTTAGCAGTAAAGAACACTTTCTGTTCTTCCAGAGGACCTGAGTTCAGTTCCCAGCAGCCATCTTGACCGTCTCACAACCACCTGTAGCTCTAACTGTATGGGATCCAACATCACATCTGGCCTCCATGAGCACCTGCACACATATGGCACAACCACCCCCCCACCCCGCCCAATCTCATAAGGTTTACGATTAGCTTTATTATTTTGTATTTGGGCTGTATTCCACAACCTCCTACGACATCACCACCAGATGGGACCAAGTATTTATACACACAAGCCTAGGAGGTCGTGTCACACTCAAACTGTAACAGGATGGAGTGTCTTCGACGCAGCGAGGCTGAGCTGTGCTCGCAGATATTCATTGTAATGGCTTAAGTACAAGGGGATTTGTTCCTGGGCCACTGTAGGCAGAGGATATCCAGGCTGGAGGGAGGCTGCGGTTCCCAGTTCTCTAAGCTTTTGGCTACTGTGCAAGCTGGAGAAAGAACCTCAGGATACGGCCTCCATGGTAGGTATCACTGCAGACCTAGACAGGGTATTTCTGCTCATAGGTTGTGTTGCTCTGATCTAAAACCCTGTCACTGTAGGATGAAACTGAGACCTTCCAGAGAGAAGTGCTCCAGGCGAGGGTTCTGGTTGCCACGTCACAGCTGCAGGCCTAGCTCAGATGAGCAGTGGGCCTCTGATCCCTGCATCTGGACACTCAACCAACCAGGGGTGGATAGTCAAGCAGGGAGGAGGGGGAAAGTATAGACTTTCCCTTGTCAGCAGCCCCGACCACCACATTATAATACTGATTATACAGAATTAGATCTAAGTGACCTAGAGTTGATCTTCACTGTGCAGCAGAGTATGTAGGGGCGATATTCCAGGCTGATGCCACTTTATGTCAGAGTGTCCTTGAGGAGTGGCACACATGAGGGTCCTGAGAAAAACTGTCCACTGAGGATGGCAGGAGTGGATGGAAGTCGTTTTGAACAGAGAATCTTATTCCAGTTCCTGATCAGGGGCTTTGTGGATGTCGGTAAGTCTCAGTCCTGGTTCTGGTGCATGGCATAGTTGCTAAGTCTACACCTCAGATTCCCTGCAAATACATCCAAGAGAAGCCTGAATTCAATCTTCAGCTCCCTCCCTTCCAGCAAGAACTAATTTTTCTGGAAATAAGAATGTTCCCTCCAGAGTCTCTGGTCAACCTCACAGGTCAATTTAGCTTTGCCTTCAACCTCCCTTTTTCCTTCCTCTTCCTCCCTCCCTCCCTTCTTCTGTACCTCCCCCTCTCTTTTTCCCTCCCTTTCTCTCTCTCTCTCTCTCTCTCTCTCTCTCTCTCTCTCTCCTCTCTCTCTTTTAGGAGGGGGGGAGCCCCTCCGTTCTCTGGTCTTGTACACAGAAATTCCCATAAGGCCACATGTTTGCAATCAGTGTGGCAACTGTGTGTTTTGCTTTGTCGTCACAAATGACACCCTGAGCGTCCTCCCACATCCCTCTACAATAATCACACAGTTCTACTGCAAAGGCCTGTGGGCACTCTGGACTTTCTGCCTGGAAACCTGCCTTCTGTCCTCCCTCCTGTGTCTGCCTCCAGAGGCGAGGTTTCTAAGATGTGACTCTGGCCTGGGGCTTACCTGCTTGAAGCCTTCATTTGCATTATCAGAACAGAGAGAAGGGCATCCCAGGTTCATCCCCTCCCAAGGAATTCAGAGTCCTGCCTGACCGATCACCTCCTCCTTCTCCCGTGTTAGTCATTGGCTGGGTGGGTGGGGAGCAGAATTCGCTCCAGATGGTTGCAGCAAGGAGATTTTAATCAAAGGATTGCGTCTAGAGAGCGACTGTATGAATAAAACAGAAGCTGGAGGCTGCTGGGACACAGGCAACAAAGGATGTGATCACTGGAGAGGGCAGGGAGGAAATAGTGTCTTCTTTCACATCTTATCGGTGCTTCCCACCGGCAGAATCCAGCTGGAAGTCAGAACGCTGGGGGAGGGGCAAGACAAGTGACCCACAGGCATGGATACAAGGTGACAGTGGACCAGGGAACGCATGGGAACAAAAGCAGAGCATCCCTTGTGACTGGCCCTGGCCACTGTACCTTGCAAAACCTTTGCCCTACTCAGAAGACCAGTCTGTCCTGTACATCTCAAAAACTGCCCAGCTTCAATGTTCCTTTGGGTGCCCCCATCTTTAGACAGGTTCTTGTGTAGCTCAGGCTGGCCTCAAACTCCACGTGTGATCTAGGGTGGTCTTGAACGCTTGATCCTCCCGTTTCCATCTCCACAGTGCTGGATTTGTAGGTGTGCACAAAAAACTCTCAGGGGAGCCATTCCCATGTTGGTGACCACAGAAGAGGCGGCTGGCCCGTGGGCTGTAGTTTGCTTATTTTGTGTTTGAAAGATATTAAAATATACTTTGATTGCTAACACTTTTTGAGATAGAGGCAGGAAGATCAAGAGTTCAAGATCACCCTTTGTTTCACGGCCAACTTGAGGCAAAACTGAGCCACATGAAACCCTGGTGATTTTTTTTTTTAACACTTCTTAAAAGAATGTGTGTGTGCACCCGCTCACATGTATGTGCCTGTGTATATGTACACATTAAGGTTAGACAGCATTGTGAAGTAGGTTCTTTTCCACTTTATGTGGCTTCCAGAGCTTGAACTCAGGTTCTCATATCTGTGCAGCAGGCGTCTTTACTCACTGAGCCTTCTTATGGCTCAAGTGCTTTGACCTTGTGCTAGGCTTAAAAATAAATGTCACATTGTCACAGCCCTCCCCACACAGACGTTTCGGTGTTGAAACAAGTTTCCCAATGCAGACTTATTATTACTAAACACGAAACCCGCCCTGGAATTTTCTATTCTAGTCTTCTCTGTTTTCCGTTACAAAGTGCTATTCACCACCTTTGAAATTCAAACTGCAGGCAGTTCTCCCCAAGGTGGACTCCTCCGTGTTCTAGCTTGTTCTTGCTGCCTGTTGTGCTGAGGACAGCGCCTGGTGCAGGAGTCCCAGCCCTCTATAGTGGGACTTCTGTAACAGGCTTGTTTTCTTTCTCTCTGCAGTTGCCTCCGGACCCAGCCTCGTCCAAAATACCCTGGCACTGCCACCACCCTGGCCAGGATGGGCCTGCTGTTTCTCGTCCTTCTATTGCCACTTTCCTGTGTGGTGGGACTGCCATTCTACAATGGCTTCTACTATTCCAATGGCCTGCATGGCAGGACCCTGGGCAATGGCTACGGGGAAGGTGGGTGGCTCCTAGGCCTGTCTCTTGGCTCCTGCTGTGATATGCAGGTTCTAGGCAGGGATGGAGATGGCGGGATCTTCCCTGTCTGGGCCTCCAGGGGTGGACCAGCCTTGCTTCTGAGGCGAGAGGAGATGGTTTAAATACTCTTGAGTTTGCTGGTACCATAGACATGGGACATGAGTTCTCTTGGGGTAGTCCTGATTCCTAGAACGGCTTGTTCTTCAAGATCTAGCCGGAGTGTAGCCACACCTGGTTTCCCTTGCAGAAGGAACTATGAAGTCACAGAGATGTGAGTTTGGATATCATTTGTATCTTTTTCTGGCTGGGTGGCCTCAGGCATGGGACTTTTGATATGTCCATCATTGTGACCCTGCAGTGGGTTTCTTCTTATCAACCTAGTTCTGTTACTTAGGGAATTCTGTCATTTAGACCCTAAGCTCTGACAGCCTCCTGCCTTGGCTGAGATAAACTGAGTCTTTGGGAGGAGCCCTGGTCAATAGTTGGCCCAGGTTGTGAAAAAAAAAGTGTGCTGTGCTCTCTGGAGGCCCTGTGGAATGAAGGGGACTCAGGAACACTTGAGGCAGGCCATTCAGTGTAGCTGTCTTTTACCTTGGCAAAGTTCTTGTTGGCTGTCATGGCAGCTAGTATTTAAAATTGTTTTTTTTTTGTTTGTTTGTTTGTTTTGTTGTTTATTTGTTTGGTTTTGAGACAGGGTCTCACACAGGCTTGTGAGACTTGCTATATAGTCAGGGCTGGCCTTGAACTTCTGATCTGACTCTGTCTCCCACGGGCTGAGATGACAGGTATGCACTTCTACACCTGTGCTGAGGCGCTGTTGGGTATAAACCCAGGGCTTGTTGTGCATGTTACACAAGCACTCTCCTAACTGAGCTACAGCCCTAGCTTCCTATGCTGGCCTGGAAGTTTCTGTGTAGCTGAAGATAGCTTTGAGGACCTGACTCCCCTGCCTCCACCTTCCAAGATCTGTGCTCACAGGCAGGAACCACCATGTTAGCTTTTGGGTACAGAACAAACTGTCCCAAACATGGCTGCTTAACGGCATACCCATTAACTGAGACCTATGGCCCAGCTCTTTGGAGTGAGGTCTGTTTCTCCTGATCCTACAGCCTGCCTCTCTTTGGGGGAATACAACTCCATGTGTATCCTGAGTCTCCCTCTCAGTTTTGGGGGTGTGGGTATGGGTGGGATTGGGGTTAAGTATTGCCAGACTGTGCAGCAAAAAGAATTTAGGCTCAGGTCAGAGGTTCTTGATTAAACAGAAGGATCAGATGAACATCTTATAAGAGCATCTGTGGGTGTTGGGAGTCACCGTACGTGTTATCTGGGGGCTGTGACACCAGCTAGTCTAGCTGAGCTCAACGTTAGGGAAGGGATGTGCTGGTCTATCTGCCCACCTCTTCGTTTAATTTACAGAACCCTCTCCTTGAGGAAACACCGAGCAGCTGCAGCTGGGGAAGGGAGCTCTGGTAGAGATAAAAGCATGGGTCAGGGGGGCCCTTTACCCAGGGCCACAAGGAGGCTGGAGTTGAGGCATGACTTATTAGCCATTTTTAGGAAATGGCTTCTCCCTTTTCCCTTTATTCTTGAGACTTTCATATAGATATACAACAGAATACGATCACCTCTGTCTCCCACTTTCCTTTTCCAACTTCTCTACATCCCAGTGTCACGATCCCAAGCTCATGTCTTGCTCTTCTCTCCCCCTCCCCCCCTCCTTTCTTTTGGATATTCATCTCAATATATCTCCCTGGCTGGCTGGAAACATGCTATGCGGAACAGGCCGGCTTTGAACTCACAGAGATTGGCCTGCCTCTGCCTCCTAAGTGCTGGGATTATGTCAGCACTATGCCTGACTTTTTTTTTTAAAATAACCCTCTAAATCCAGTTAATGCTACCCATACCTACACCGTCTGGTACCATCTACTGGAATCCCATCAGAACCACATCCTCAATAGAAAGTGATTCTCCTTTCCCTAGCAATGAGTAATTGCCAATAGTTCCTCAGGAAGGGGCCTGAGGATCGTCTCCTACATTTATGCCAGGATTCTGGCTGGCTTGATCTTGTGTAGGTAACCACAGCCACTGTGAGCTTCTGAGCGCAACAGCCATGCCATGTCCAGAAGGCACATCTGCTCCCACCTGCTGGCTCTTACATTCTTTCCACCTCTTCCACGATGTTTTGTGAGCATCAAACACAGAGGGCTGTTGCAGGGCTGAACACTGACTCTCTTTTTCTCAGCTCTTTGACATCTTATCAGCCATTTTGACTATCTTGGGGATGATGCTTCTCAGATGGGTAAGCGTAGCTCCCTGCAGTTATACTGAGATTCCCTGGTGCCAGGAAGGGAGAGATGGAGATCCAAAGCAGGAGAGAGAGAGAGAGAGAGAGAGAGAGAGAGAGAGAGAGAGAGAGAGGAGTCCTATTTTTCCTCAGGTCCCCTCTGTCTCCTAATTATCCCATTTCAGGATTTGCGAGTGACCTGCCATTGGGTAGTGGATCACCTCACAGGTGTTTGGTGTAGGATGACCCCAGCTGAGGAGGGTTCTCACTGCTTCTGAGGATCTCTTGTGCCCTAGGCAGGCAAGTCTGGGCCTGTGCACATAGTGACTGGCAATGAATGTTCCCTGGAGAAGGCAGAGTAACAAGAGCCACTGGGACCAAGCCTCAGAACAGGCCCAGTAGGAAAATCATTTTGCCTTTCAGTCAAGCAGCAAGCAGGTGGCAAGGCCAATACAAATTCAAGGAACTGATGTCACCCACCTGCTTTTTTGTTTTCTCTTTAGTGAGACAGAGTTTCACTACATGTAGCCCATGCTTGTCTCAAACTAATGCTAACCCTTCTGCCTCAGCCTTCCTACCGGTATTTGCCACTAAACACAGCTCAGTGGAAGTAGGTGCAAAGTCACGTGGTTGGGTAGTGGGTATGTGGAGGAGTGGAGCAGCAGGCACTTGGAGGGGTGGGGCCGGGAGGCTCTTTTTGCATCCTGAAACACAGGAGTCTGGAGGAGCTTGGAATAAGGGTATGGGAATGTCCTTGCAAGACCATCGCCTCCTCTGTACCCCACCTTGCCCCCAGGCCTATTCAATGGAGTGAAGCTGGTGGTGGAGACGACCGAGGAGACCCTGTTTAGTCACCGAGGAGCCAGTGTGACCCTGCCCTGCCACTACCACTATGAGCCAGCCCTGGCGTCCCCGAGGCATGTGCGTGTTAAATGGTGGAAGCTGTCGGAGAATGGAGCCCCAGAGCAGGATGTGCTGGTTGCCATCGGGCAGAGGCACCGGTCATTTGGGGACTACCAAGGGCGCGTACAGCTGCGGCAGGACAAACAGCAGGAGGTCTCGCTGGACCTGAGAGACCTGCGGCTGGAGGACTCCGGGCGCTACCGCTGTGAGGTCATTGATGGGCTGGAGGACGAGAGTGGCCTGGTAGAGCTGGAGCTGCGGGGTGAGGCCCTGACTTGGTGCCACTGGGACCCGAGGGAGGGGGAGAGGACCCAGAGAAGGCCTAGACCTTTATACTTTACACAGGTAAGCATGCTTAAGTCTCAAATGACCCTAAAAGGAAGTTATTATAGGCTCACAGCCCTTGTTTTCCAGATGAGGAAGTGAAGAGAGATCGAGTAACTTACATAAAGGCACATAGTTGATAGGTGGCAGAGCTGGGATTTGAACTCAGGGAGCAACTTCCAAAAGTCACTGTCTCCTATTCCCTCGCATCCAGTCCTGTTCAGAAAGAGGGAAATAGGAGCTGGTCCACTCATTGGAGCTAGAGCCTAGGTTCCAGCAGGGTTATTCAGCAGAACATATGAACAAGATGAGTGACAGTAGGGACTGGTAGGGCCCAGGGCACACTGCTGAAGCCCCACCACGTAAAGAAAGCTATTTAATTCAGGCTAGTTACAATGCCAATTAAGAATGCAGGCCTGTTGCGGTTAGATTTTTATATTTAAGTATGAAATTGTGTGTGTGTGTGTGTGTGTGTGTGTGTGTGTGTGTGTGATGTTGGGAATAAGAACTCTGGGTCTTGGACATGCTAGGTAAGTGGTCTATCAGTGAGCTATACAGCCATTGGAATCTCTGGGTTTTTATGTAAAAATAATCAATTTTTAGAAATAACTTAGTACTGTCTGAATCATATCCTATGAGCAGGTCTCTGGTGTCTCAAGTTTGAGATCTCTTTTTGCTTGGACTCCTTTGTGTTTTGGGTGAGGTAGCATGTTTCCATCTCTCTCCTCTAACTCCATCTTAGCCCACCCCAGCTTTGGCCCCTAGGCAGGGCGCATCCCTGAGACCCTGGGTCTTTCAGGTACAACAAACAAGGGAATAATTGGGCAAGTAATAACAGTTCCTTTGATATCTGCCTCTAGTACTGAGAGTGAACTTGCCTCCTGGAAAAGATCGTCCTGAGCCTTTAACATCTTTCCTCTGCAGCCTACAGGGCCTAACCAGTGGCTCAGAGAGGCCATTCTGAAGTCTGGGTTATCAGAGGGAAGGGTCATCAGGGCCAGCCTAGAGGATGGTGGCTCAGAGGGGCCAAATTGCTCATTCTGAAGTCTGGCTTATCGGAGGGAAAAGTTATCAGGGCCAGCCTAGAGAGATACAAAGTCCTCAACCTTGTCCTCATTCCTGGGGCATCAAGGAATGAGGACATAGGGTGGGGCTAGGCATATGATCAGTAACTGCTGTGCTCCCCCCATCCCATGAGCCCCACTGCTCCCTCAGCCTGGCTGTGCCAGGTGCCTGGCCACAGGGGAAGGTTTATTTAAGGTTCTGCCTTCTAACTAGCACAAGCCAAGGACAGCCTCCTCCTGGACCCTTAGCTTCATATGACTTGATATGGACTGAACGATGCTTAAAAATGTTTAACTGGGCTGTGGATATCTCTATCTCTATATCTATCTATCTCTATATCTATCTATCTATCTATCTATCTATCTATCTATCTATCTATCTATCTATACCTGTGGTGAGTGGTATCTAATTTGAGTGAAGTCCCAGATTCAACCCCAGCTCAAAACAACAAAAACGAACCCCCAAATTTTTTATAAAGTAGAATTTCAAACATGCACAGTAACACAGATTTTGCTTGTTTTTGTCTTCTTCTTTTTCTCTTCCTCTCCCCTCCTCTTCTGCCTTCTTTTTGTTTATTTTGCGACAGGTTTCTCTGTGTAGCCCTGGCTGGCTGTCCTGGAACTCACTCTGTGACTAGGGTGGTCTCAAACTCACAGAGATCTGCCTGCCTCTGTGCCCCAAGTACTGGGATCAGAGGCACGTGCCACCGAAACCTGCTCTGTGCTTTTGTTTTCTGTGAAAGGATCTCACTCTGGAGGCCAGACTGGTTTTGAGTTTATGGTAATCCTTCTGCCTCATTCTCCTGAGTGCAGGGATTACAGGAGTGAACCACCACACCCCGCTAGCATAGCATATTGAGGGAAATATGCTATGGCCTTCTCGGGAAGGAGGCCCACTGCCCCAGGGTATCCTTGGCCTCAGGCCCCTTTCCTAACGACCCTTGACCACCCTTCTTCCAGCAGTTTTTAGGGGTGCCTTTCTCTGTATCCCAGGATGACCTTAAACTCATGGTAATCCCCAATCTCAGCCTCCTGAGTGCTGAGATTATAGGCATGAACCATCATACCCAGCTTCCTTTATTTTCTTAAGAAATTTCTGCATGAAGAAGCCAGGCTTGGTGGCCCATGCCTACAATCTCAGTACTTGGAAGGTTGAAGCAGGAGGATTGTAAGTTCGCGGCCAGCTTGGGTTACATCGCAAGACTCTGTCCTTGTCTTCGAGTTTCTATCACTGCAATGAAACACCGTGACCAAAACCAAGTTGGAGAGAAAAGAGTTTATTTGATTTATACTTCCACATCACTGTTCATCATCAAAGGAAGTCAGGACGGGAAGACAGGGCAAAATCTGGAGGCAAGAGATGGTGCAGAGGTCATGGAAGGGTGCTGCTTCCTGGCTTGCTCCCCTTGGCTTGCTCAGTCTGCTTTGTTATAGAACCAACCAGCCCAGGGATGGTTGCATCCTCAATTGGCTGGGCCCTCCCATATCAATCCAGTAATTAAGATTATGGTTCTGCCTACAACCTGATCTCATGGAGGCAGCTTCTTATTGAGGGTTTCTCCTCTCAGATGACTTTAGCTTGTGTCAGCCGACATAAAACTATCCAGCACAGTCCAAAAAAAAAAAAAAAAAAAAGGAGTTTGTGCACTAATGACATTCACAGCTGGCCTTTCCTGTCTCCTCTGAAAATTAAACTGAGTCGTAGGGGCCTGTGAGATGGCTCAGTGGGTAACGGCACTTGTGGCCAAGCCTGGCAATTTGAGTTTGATCTCTAGGACCTATACGTTGGAAAGGGACAACTGATGGCCATAAGACGTTTCCTTGACTTTCATGCACATGTCCTTCCTACATGAATAAATAAATAGTACAATTGGAGAAATAAACCAGCTCATAAACCAAAAGTATACACCTGTGCCCCAAATGCACGAAGTTAAAAACAAACAGACAAACCAAAAACAAACAAACAAACAAAACAAAACACTGCAGGTCAAGCACCACACTGATCCACGAGGATGAAGTGACGTGTGGGCATTGTGTCGGTATCTTAGGCAGTCAACAGATAGATCAAGATGTTCTAAAGGACGTGCAGATGTTGTCACGTGTAGACATTGCCACTTCATATACTTACAGATGCCTGTAGGACCAGGAGGGGAGCCAAGCTTAGCCCCCGGAGCCCAAAGCACAACAACGTGGCCTCGTCTCCTATCACATTCTATAGTCACTTGATGGATTATTTTATCCTATCTATCCTATCAAGTGAGAGGATATATCTAGATCTACATCTATATCTATCTCTCTTCCTAGTCTGTAGTCACTTGATAGATTCATTACCTTACAAGCTAATATATACTTTTTGGGAACTCTGCTCCAGTCTTGGAAGAAGGTGAGAGGCAGGGGAAGGCTCCCCTTGGGCTTAGGAACACAAACAGGACATTTGCTGAGCTGTCTGAGCTAGCAGTGTCTGTGTTTTGGATGCGCTCGCATCCCAGTGGAGGTAGGGCGCTCAGGCGGCCTCCTCCTTCCGACTTCTCTGAGCCTTTCCTTCCTTCCTTCCCTTCTAGGCGTGGTTTTTCCCTACCAGACCGGCAAAGGGCGCTATCAGCTTAACTTCCATGAGGCACAACAGGCCTGCCGGGAGCAGGACGCAGTGGTGGCCACCTTTGAGCAGCTCTTCCGAGCGTGGGAGGAGGGCCTGGACTGGTGCAACGCGGGGTGGCTCCAGGACGCCTCCGTGCAGTACCCTATAGCCATGCCCCGGCAGCCCTGTGGAGGCCTGGGCCTGGCACCTGGCGTTCGCAGCTATGGCCAGCGTCACCACCGCCTGCACCGTTATGACGTGTTCTGCTTCGCGGCTGCCCTCAAGGGTGAGTTGGAACCGCCAGGCACAGACCTGCCCTGCTTGATGGTCCTCCGCCACTGAGGGAGGATCTCTTCTTCTGTGGAGCTCCCAGAACCCTCAGCCTGGAAAGGATACAAATTCCCGTAGGGCAGTTCCCTGGGGATCCCTCTGCTGTTCAGCACTCACACGCCCCACTTGCACACAGGGCGGGTGTACTACCTGGAGCACTCTGAGAAGCTGACCCTGCAGGAGGCCAGGGAGGCCTGCCAGGAAGATGGCGCCCGAATTTCCACGGTGGGCCAGCTCTTCGCTGCTTGGAAGTTCCATGGCCTGGACCGCTGTGACGCTGGCTGGCTGGCAGACGGAAGTGCCCGCTATCCCATAGTTCACCCCCGTCTCAACTGTGGCTCCCTGGAGCCTGGAGTTCGGACCTTTGGCTTCCCAGACCCACACGCCCATTATGGCGTCTACTGTTACCGCCAGCGCTAGCAGGGTGGACAGCTGCGCATCTGCCCTGGCCCCTGACTCCCCGGGCTGAATGTTTGTTAGGGACCTTTGTCCCTTGTGGGCTGGGTCATTGCTTGTATTGATTTCATACTTCCCAACTTAAACATTTTTAAGGTATTACTATTATTATTATTATTATATTTTACAGACCCAACTCTCAATTCTTTTGGCATTCCTCTCTGGGGCATTTGAGGTCCATTGGCTTTTAAAGGCTCTGCCGTGGTCTGCCACAGCTGGCATCCCTAACCTGAGGAAACTGGTGCCCAGCATGGGCGGTGGCTGTGGCTAGCTCCCTTTCCTCAGCTTATAGGAGGCAGAAGGCTGACTTTTTAAAAATTTCTCCACAGGGTCCTTAGACTTGTGGGTGAGGACTTAGGAAAAAGAGAACTTCCCTTTTCCTGGTTCCACAGAGTCTGAGCATCCTTTCCATGTCCCCCCTTGGGAGTGGCCCTCTCTGTGTGCGTAGCTTTGGCCAATAAATGGTGTTATGATTTCCTCCCTTCTTTTCCAGCCAACCTCTGTGTCTGACCCTTTGTCTCTTTGAGTCTCAGGGGCTAGATTCCAGCCCTGGCTAAATGTGGGGTCACTTCTGTCTTCTGTCTCCCCCTGGGCCGCCCCTGCATGTTGGTTGGGTTTTGACTTTTTCTGTCCTGTAGCATACCCTGCCTCAGGTTGCTAGTCCAGTTGTTGGGGTCCGGCTCCCCTCCATCCATCTCCACTCCATGCTGACCCATCTTTGAGGGGCTCAGGAGCAGAGCAGGAGGTGCCTTTCATGAAGAAGGGGCACCAGTGCATTCGGCGGGGGGGGGGAGGATCTCAGAGGCTGAGGATCCCTGCAGCGTCTGTTTCTCAGCCCAACAGTGCTCCAGGGAGTCAGACACCAGACACCAGGTGTTCCCTGATGCTTAACAATCAGGTGTCTAGTCAGCGTTTCTAAGTGTGAGTGTGCAGGTGTCTGTGTGTCTGTGTGTCTGTGTCTCTTCGTGTGTGTACATGTGTGCCTCTCTCGCTTTGTGTGATATGTGTATATGGGTGCCTCTTTGTGTGTGTGTGTGTGTATGTATGTGTCTGTGTATGTGTATATGTGTGTCTCTCTGTGTATGTATGTATATGTGTGTATATGTATATCTGTGTGTATATGTGTGTGTGCATATGTGTTTCTTTGTGTGTATATGTGTGTCTCTCTGATGTAGACGTGTCTCTGTGTATATATGTGTGTGTCTCTGTGTATACGTGTGTATATGTGTGTGAGTCTCTCTGTGTATGTGTGCCTCTTTGTGTATGTTTGTGTATGTTTCTGTGTGTATATGTGTGTGTCTGTGCGTATATATTTGTGTGTGTGTGTGTATATATATATCTTTGTGTGTGTATGTATGTGTCTGTGTGTATATATATGTCTCTTTGTGTGTGTATGTGTGTCTGTGTGTATGGGCATGTGGGTGCAGGTGCCCAAGAGGCAAGAAAGGGCATTGGTCCCCTGGTACTGAAATTGTGGATTGTTGCGAGCCAGCTGCCATGGGTGTTCCGCAAGAGCACCAAGACCTCTCAAACCCTGAGCCGCCTCTGCAGCCCCTCAGTCAGTTTTGTTTTGGGAGAAGGGATAGGGGCAGGGATTGAGACAGTGTCACTTAACCCGTGCTGGTCTTGAACTTCCTGTATAGTTGAGGAAGGCCTTAGACTCTGATGCTCTTGCCTTCCCAGTGCTGGGATCACAAATGTGCACCGTTACACGTGACTAACAGCCCCTGGAAATTTGCTAGAAATTCAGCCTCGCTTCAGTTCTGTTGAGTCAGAAACTCCAGGTGTGCTATCACAGCCCTTGGGGACTTGTTACCCATTTTGGTAGTAGAGATTGAACCTAGGGACTTGCACATGCTGCTCAAGCTCTCTCCCACCGGGCTGCATCCCCAGCCCTCTTGTACCATTGTGAGACAGGGTTTCACCAAATGACTCAGGCTAGCTCAGCTACCCAAGTAGCTCAGATTACTGGCCAGGCCACCAAGACTGGTACACATTTGCCTCGAGTAGTTCTTTCATTTTTGTTTTGAGATAGGGTCCTAGTGTGTAGCCCAGGCTGGCCTCAAACTTTCAGTACACCTGTCTCAGCCCCCTGAGTGCACCATCACGCCTTATCTTGAGTTTCCAGTGTGCCCACTTGCAAACCTTCGGTCCAAACTGCTGAATGACACGGGTGGACAGGCATACTCAGGCATACAAACATATATAGGCCACATGTGCTCACACACACATGCTGTATTCACACACACACACACACACACACACACACACACACACACGCACGTGTGCAGAGGGTCCATCAAACAGTATTACGTTGGTAAGAATGAGGTAAACAGATGTGACTGGACACATAGGATCACACCATTTTGGGGGTCATTTGATGAAGGCGTGACTCCATGGAGGTCCTGGACCGTGTTCACCACTTGCTTAACTGAGACATAAAATAAAATAAAAAGGAAAAGAAAGGAAATAGATCTCTTCCAATGTCTTTATTATTATAATCATCATAATCTTTAGTTTTCAAAAATATAAATAGGTGCACGGAACACTGGTGCCTGCACCGTCCCGGGGTGGGGAGAGGGAAGGGGACGGCGGAGCACCCCTGGGAAGGAAGTGCCCCTACCCAGTCCAGCCGAGAAATGACACCTGCTGTGGTAGTTGACCCAGGTGAGAGGTCGCAAGGAGAGGGGCCCTGGAGGGAAGGCAACCTCACTTCCCCTCAGCCAGCCTGTCCCCTGCCCCAGGTCCCTTCCCTCAGAGATGGCACAGACCTCTGTTCCTTTTGTCAGACACATTAAGCTGTAGTTAGTCTCTTCTGAGTCCTTTAATGCCCTGAGGCCACCCTCCCTGGTCCCCATCTCCTTCCAGCTCCTCCTTTGCCCCCTAGCTCTCCCTGGAGGTGAAGTAACCAACCATTGCACTTCTTTTGGGTAAAGTCAGGAAACAACAACAAAAAATATCTTTTTTATTTAATTTAACCCCTTCCTTCTCACCCTGTCCCTGCACTGGTCCCTTGAAAGGCACGGTGGGAGATTGAGGAAATATCCCTAAACTCAGTTCACGGGTTACAGAAAATTTGCTTTGGCTTTTTTTTTTTTTTTTCTGGGGAGAGGGGCAGGGATAAATTAGGGCAGTTTGGGTGATGTGGGGAGCGGGGGCACACACAATGTGGGATTTTTTTTTTCCTTCTTTAATGGATTCCTTATATGACAAAAAGTGACAAGAAGAAGACACCATCTGGGTGGGATGAACAGTCAGCCTGGCTGGCCGCTTGGCTCAGCATCCTGGGCACAGTCTGGATGCTGCTTTCAGTGGGCCATGCTGGGGTGGTTCCTGCGTTTGGGTCTCAAGCTCCGCTTCTGTAGCCTGCGCTTGTAAGTAGTAGCTGCAGCCAAAGGGAGGAGGAAAATAAACAGAGTGGGGAAAAAGCAGGGCCAAGCTCAGACTCCCCCCAGCCTTCCCATGTACACAGGAGCCCCTCCTTGTGGATTATGGGCCTTCGAAGGCGACCTAAATCTGCTCCCACCATGCTCCTCTGGGTTGGATTTTTCATTGGATGTCACTAGGCTCAGGCAGGAGACAGTCAGAGCCCAGGCAGCCAGCTTTCTTATTTCCTTCCAGGGAATAGCAACATTCCCTGAAATGAGACATCGGGGACCAATGTCTTTTGATGGATGGACCCCCAATACCTTCCCTGCCTAGCTTAGCTCCTAGCATGGCATGGAGTCTACAGAACAGTGCCAGCTACCACTATGTTCTGGGGAAAGGGAGGAGTTCCTGTTGGTGGACTCTGGCTCTGCGCCAGGTGAGGGACCAGGGGGACAATACTCACGGTCTGTGCAGGTGATTCGAGGATCTTCCCAGTACCCACTGGGCTGGCACCGGATGGTGGGCACGTGGCGCTGGACAAAGCCCTCAGTACACTGGTACCGCACCAGGGAGCTGATCTCATAGCGATCCTTCTTCTGCCCGAGGGTCCTGGCATGTTCCACCACTGGGGGTTCTCCACAGGCCACTGAGGGACAAATGTCTTTTAGGAAGGGGTCTCATGAGCTCTCCTGTGATGGCCCATTAGGCAGAGACAAGGTTAGCCCAGAGCCCAAGGCATGATGAGAAAGGGATTAGGTTGTGCTACCCAGAGCTGAGCCTGGATTGCAGAGGAAATACAGGGCTAAGAAATCCTGAGATATTCAGGGCTCACATCTGGATTCCTCGGAGGCACTGGAAGGCAGGAAGGAAGTCTAAAGGTGATTTGGAACAATGGTGAGAAGATAAAAAAGGAGGGGAAAAGGTGGGAAAGAGGACAGTCTGGTGAGACACCTATGGCTTCTTTATGAAGATGTCCAAAGCCAGGAAAAGCAGGGCCCGAAGGAGGCATGGGGAGGAGCAGGAGGGCTGGGTCCTCTAAGCACCGTGACGCCCATGGCTTGTGTTGAAGGATTCAGGCCTGGCAGCTCTGATTCTGTGACTAGCATTTCTGGATTCTGTGACTAGCATTTCTGGACCCCTAAAGAAAGGGTCCATCATGGGTGACTTTCTGTCGCTGACAACCGAGGCTGTGGTATGTGTAGAGTTGAGGATCCATGCCTGGGCTATCCTCTAGCCCATGACCTTTATCCTCTCTGTCCCTGTGAAGGGTCCCTAGGAGCCAACTTGTTTTTGCCATTGGCCCTGTGGTGCTTTGAGCATGCTTCCATAAGCCTCCGGTAGCTAGCTAGGGGGACAAGAGAATTTTCCCCAGGTCATGTGGTGAGTGGCTCCCTTGGGGCTGAAGGTCTTGTTCCTCTCCCTGGATCTCCCCACAAGCCTTTCTTACCGGTGCCCTTTTTACACGTGAAGGGCAGCTGGTAATTGCAGGGGACGTCATTCCATTCGCCCTTCTCATGCCATATCATCACTACGCAGTCCTCTCCAGTGGCAAAGAAGTTGTCAGGCTGGTTGGGACGCCACTTCTCAAATTGCTG